TCCTGGACCATAGGAGACACCTGTACCCCTGGACCACACCAGCATAGCAACACTGATCTCCTGGACCATAGGAGACACCTGTACCCCTGGACCACACCAGCATAGCAACACTGATCTCCTGGACCATAGGAGACACCTGTACCCCTGGACCACACCAGCATAGCAACACTGATCTCCTGGACCATAGGAGACACTTGTACCCCAGGGCCACACCAGCATAGCAATATTGAGCAGTTATGCAGAACAGAGCAATAATTAGAAAGCATGTGATCTGGGGCTGAACAGTAAGGAACTGTGGTCTGTTATAAAGCAGATAAGGTAAAAGAGTTTTGTTGGGAGGGTACTAAAGATAACACCCTCTACACACACCAGCGGCAGCATGTTTGTGTACTGACTTCAGCTTGAAGGAGTTTTCATTGGCTAAAGTTCTGACCAGGAGCCCACAGCTTGTTGAGTATGGGAAGAAATTGGGAACTGTTGCTTAGCAGCAGAAAAGGAAGGTGGGGCTGCTGGCCCAACGTCCTCAGAGCCCCCAGGCTCCTGTGTTTGTTTTGCCTTCAGCTCCAGCAGTAGAACAGGATTCCCTCAGCTCCAGGCGAGAGACAGCCTTCAGCTACGGGATGGAGAACAACCACCGGATCCACAGGAGGCGTCTGAGCCACCTCAGCCAGGAGACACATTCAGCAAAAACACGAGCGGCAACTCCAAGTTATTGTTTACCATCATCATCCTCACGAGCCAGCTTAGATGCGAGTTTAAGGCTCATCAGAATTCTTGATTAAGTCTCATTAAACTGCTAATCCAGTAAGTCATATGTTTAAATCAGGTTTCACTGAATGCGCTCGCTGAAGTTTCATTGCAAGCGTCACATTGAGCTAGAGATGTCTAAATGTCTATATATATATATAAATTTAAATATAATTAATTACAAAAAATTGGCATTAAAATTGGAATCTTAAAATTGTTAAAATTGCAATGTTCAATTAATGGGAAGGTGAGTTTTGCAAAAAATCAAAATTGTACCAACCAATATACTCTGCAAGGTGATTCACATCATATGACATTACATGGATATTGCAGTCATGCTTAATTAAGAGTTTGGCTTGTCCAAAAACTGGTATATATGATAACTGGGGTTGTACTCTATACTTTGGACATTCTGGCTGAATTTAGTACAGCTTCAGTACTTTTCTCAGGGTAACGTGGTAGGCTGGGCTGCTCAACATATAAACAGTGATGGCCGAACCCTCTACTCATTCTTTGGGGTTATTTTTTTTAGAATGAGTATTTATAGTGTAGCTGGGCTAGAGGTGACACAGGCTTCACTAAGCTCCCCCTGTCGCTGGCAGAGCCCAGCCATACATGCGGGTCAGAAACTGCATCAGGACCAGTCACCACGCCAGCAGAGCGCCCGCCCTCCACAGCAGCTCCCTCTGACATCGTCGCCCTGGCAACAAGAGCAGCATCACCGACAGGAGCCTACGAAGGTGGCGCGAAGTCATAATTCCGAAACTCCGCAGGAGCGTTTTCGTCATCCAGTGAAGGCCGGGAACACATTGAGAAGAGTACACGATGTGCGAGAACATCGTCACAGCAGAGACACACGTGTCCTCTATCGATTCTTCACCCAACTTCATCTAACTCTGGTGTGTAGGCTGATTCTCTCAGAGCTGCTCTCTGAAAAGGTCTACATTCTAAACCTCTGAGAACAATCATTTTAAACCGCAGGGACAATCGAAATATGTTTTCTGTTAATTTTAAGAAGAAAAAACATTTAAGAATCAACTGTATTCTGGTGAATCTCTAACACTCGCACAAACTCCAGAGATGCAGAGCTCCAAGCTACAGAGCTACCGACTAACATATTCTCTTGGCTCCGCACTTTTATGCTCAAATAAAAAGTGAACTTCCTTCCTGAAGCCTGTTTGTCAGAGTTCTCATTCATAGCAGCCTTCCTGTTTCTGGGCTGCACTCGGCAAGATGAAACGCAGACCCACAGGTGAGCGCGGTGCCGCACGGGGCTGAAAGGAGCGACGCGTTCCCGAGGCTAACTCTGCAGCGCACGTCTGAGCCAGACCGGGGCTCAGCAGGGACGCTGTGCTTCGCCAAATCACACATTTGCACCAGACCCGGGTTCAGCACACACCACCACACGGCTGGAAACATAAAAATAGTGACCCGCTGTTACCTTGGAAACTTGCTTCTTTTTCCGAGGTTTGACAGTATCGTTGCACGCCCTCTGTAAAACAAAAGCAGAGCGACTCAGCAAGTGCTAAACAAGGGAACACTAACAATATGTACGGCTAAGACACATCTCCCGTGTGTGGAACCTGGTGTTTACCTTCTCTTTCCCCAGAAGTACAGCCTCAGATTTGGGCAGCATACCCTAGGAAGTAGCCATTTTGTTTCCTTCAGCCGTAGAGCAGTCAGTGTCTGTGGCGGCAGGCGGCAGGCAAGCCCGGGGTGTCATGATGAGAGCAGCTGAGCACTGTCCCACGCCATGGCTGAGGCGCGGGGGCCATGCCTTCTGCAGACGCAGACGCCGCCCAGACAGCCAATGACGCACCGCTTAAGCCGCCTGTAAATCATCTCACTAGACCCTCCTAGACAAAGGATCCCCTATGCAGCTACACAGCTCTGCCAGGGTGACAGCTAATCTGTGGAGTGGACTTTTCACAACAGTGGAATGGATCTGGCAGAATGCTTATACATCCTGGAACCGGGAAAGCTGCTGCAACCAACATGTTATCAGCAACAAATTCAGACAGAAATGAGGCTCAACAATGTCCTGAACCACAGCCCTTCCACTACTGACCTACAATCCACCTCCTGACCATCTCACATCCTCTGCCTACAGTCCTGCTCCTCAGCATCTCATGACAGTATATATTAAAAAAAATAACAGTGAAATGTGCAAAAATACATAACCAAGTCACATCTAAAAGGTTTTCTCCTGGTGGAAGAAAATGTTATGCTGAGAGAAACCTCACTTGAACCTGAATATATAAGCATATAAAAAGGTGTAGCATGTGGCTCAGTGGACTAGGCCTCTGTGGCTGTGATCAGAAATTTTCCAGTTCAGGTCCAGCCTCAACAGAATAGCCACATGTCCATTGGCCATTTACGCAACCCCCCCCCCCCCCCCCCCCACCCCACCCACCCTGCTCCCTGGGCACTAGAAGGTGACTGCATCTTCGCTGTGACCCCCAAGCTTGCTCTCATCTGTATGGAGAGCAAGATGCGGCAAAGCAAAAAGAAAAAAAAGAGAATTTCCCAACAGGGATTACTAAAGTGTCTCCATTAACTATGAAAACTCCACATAAAGAGAGGTAGGATTCAAACCCCCCCGCCCTGAAATCGTGAAATCGCACTGTGCCGCTGGCAAAAATACACCACATCCATTTTTTTTATTTGTTGTAAATCATGTAGCACATAAATCAATGGATGTCACTTCTTTCTGGGTACAGCTATGAACATTTAACATTTATACAAAGCAGTGCAGGGGTGGCACAGTGGTTAGCAATATTGCTAACAAATAGAGTCCAGAGCTTGAGTTTGGATATTTTCTCCTTGTTGTCATACTAAGGTGAATTGGAGTTGCCAAGTCAACCATGTGAGTAAATGGCATGTGTATCTTGGGTTATTCCCAGCCTTCTGCCCATAGCTTCCAGTATAGGCTCTGGACCCCCGCAACTCTGTATAGGACAAGCAGGTATGGAAACTGGACGGACAATTCAGTGAGATCTCTCATTATGAATGCCTTATTATAACATGAACTCAAATTTCAAGTATCATGTGAACTTCACTGGAGAGGTCTATCACTGAATTCCGATTTCTGCTTTAGAGGATCTCTACACATGACAGGGGTGACATGACCTTCAATCCAGAGTAAATAATACACTGAGCTGAAAATGACTCAAGATGGAAAAGGAATGGTTAGAATAAAACAGCAGTTTCACTAGACCCCCCCCCCCCCCCACCCCCTCATTATTACACAGCGTTCCTAAAGCATTCTCTAAAACAAGAACATATGAGGGCTTTTACCAAGTTGCCCAGCCCCAGTGAGTCACCAGTAGCATTCATCACTCTCCCACCTCACACCCACAGGAAAGGTGCCCAACTGCTGTGTCATGGGCCAGTGAGCACGAGGCTTGAGTGTGACTAACCACAGTGAGCGGAACAGTGTGGTCAAGAGAACCTCCGAGAGAGGTGGACAGAGGCGACCCTGGAGGACACGACAGGCCACCAGAGTTATCATGCTGCACATTAATGGAGTGCTGTGGTTGCACTCTATACATGCAGAGCCTCACTTACCGTGCTTTTCCACTGGCATACAGGGAGCGAGGTGTGCTGCATAGACAGACTACAGCGCGGTTCCTGCTCGCTATGGATTTCCACTGCAAAAGGGTCAGCTTGGTAAAGGTGTTACCAGGATTGGGCACTGACAATGACATGAAACCAAAGAGACGCTTACTTATTGTTCACTACTAATGCTAGTTTCCGCAAGCAAGTCTGTGAGAATCCCCATACATAGGCATGAAGTCCTTGAGATAAACCTCTCCTTGGTCTAACGAGTAGGCTAACTGGAATCCCCACAGACATTCGGGGTTCTTTTGGGAGCATCTGGTGGTAGTCTGGTGCTTTTCAGGCAATTTGAGATAGACCTGGTTTTTTCCCTGTTTTTCACCTGCACTCAGCCCCTTACAAGATACTCTTGAAAGATGGATAATTAAACCTGGACTTGGTCTTATGGTCTTATGACCTTGCATAGCTCTTCAGGGCCTTCCAGGTGATTCATGTTCAAAATGTACAAAAACAGAAGAGTTTGGTGGTGCAGTGAGTGCTCCCTCATGCTCAGTAGGTGGAGGACGTTGGAGATAAGTGGTCCTGTTCCTTGCTCAAAAGCAGCCAGGCTAAGACTCACGTGTCCTTCCACTCCCAGCTCACCCCCATTCATGTTACATAAGCAGCACTCTCAAGTGCCTCTGGTGGCCTCACGACTCCACAAGCGTTGGTGTGGAGAAGCTGGGCAGCTGGACTCATCCCAAAGCCCTGATTAGCTAAAATCAGTGAGGAGTCAACACCTGAATGTGGATATTGTGGACAGTGTCTATGACTGATAGAAGGCATGTACCTGTGATTGACTGAGGACAGAGATAGGACAGTGTCTCTGTTTGGTGTGATGCTCAAGGCTGTGTTAATTTAAAGTCTGGATCTGACTCATACCATTGGAAACCTCTGAAAAAAAGAATACCCAGATCTTTTGGGAGGTTTATATAAAATCTTTTTCTAGGTGTCTTATTTGCTTTCTTATCTTTTTGATCCTGCTACCCTCCTGCTGTCCTACAGGGACTCAATGTGCAGAATCTCCTGGCAAAGTGACACACTCAGGGCCACCTAGAGGAATGGAACTCTCTGGGTGCCCAACTGAGCCGTTTTCCAGACAAGGGCATATATATTCTGTGTGTACATAGCTTTTTGAGAAGCACACACCTAAAGACATGACAGTGTTTTCGACTGAACTATCAGGCAAGGGAAAATGGCACAGCATGAATGACAGTTTCTCAAGGGCTGAGGTCCTAGGGAGAATTTCCTAAAAATCACCGGAAACACACTGACACTGACAGTGATTGAAATGCCTGGGGTGGCCTGTTTGTGTTTTCGGGGCAATGTCCAGCCTCTTAGCTTAGCATGGAGCAAGTCATGTCAAGTGGACTTGTATACCATCTATATAAAGGTATACAGTTGCACAAAAAAACGTTGCTCCAGGACTATGGTGCAACACACAAATTGCAGGTGATAAGAAGAAGGTTTCACGATTCTGTGAAAGTGCAAAAATACTGAGCAGTGTGAAACAGGGGGGCTGGACACATTGCATTGAAAGTGTTGTAAACGATGATAAATAATGCAGCAGAAAAAATGGTGGCATAGTGTCAGTTGCCTGACAATAGTTAGCTAAATTATAATAAGAGAAAGAGACTTGTGCCGGGGGGAGCTGTTGGTATTCTCAGGAATATGGAGGTGGTTAGGGGAACAGCTGTGTGTTGAGTGCCCTGGCAGCCTCAGTGAAGAACATGTTGCTGAACCTGGCAGACCTGGTTCAGATGCCCCCTATCTTCTATCAAATGGAATCAGGTCAAAGAGTTCATGGAAATGGTGGGAGGGGTCTTCCACAATGATGGAGGTTTCACGGGTGCAATGTTTGATGCAAGGGAAAGAGATCCCGGTGATTTTTTTCCATTTATGCAATATGCAATATCTTCTGCAAGTGGTCTGACGCTTTGCAATTCCTAAACCAGACAGTGATGCCTCTGGTCAAAGTACTCTTTATAGTGCCTGTGTAGAACATGGTGAAGATGGGGTGTGGAAATCTTGTACTCTGCAGCTGCCTCAGGGCGTAGAGACGCTGTTGGGCATTCTTGACCAGGGTAGAGGTGTTAAGATTCCAGGTTCGGTCTTGTACCAGATATATCCCAGAAATCTGGTGCTCCTGACTAACTCCATCGCAGATCCTTCATTACATGATGGATAGGGGACAATAAGGGCCTTCCTCAAGTCAACAATCATCTCTTTCAATTTGTCCACATTATGAGACAGATTGCCACCCTGCACTAGTCCATGAGCTGTCCCACCTCCATTCTGCATGCTGACTCATCACCGTTGCTCATGAGACCCACTGACATGTCATCAGCAAGGTTGTAGATGGTTTCTGAGCTGTTCTTTGCAGTACAGTCAAATGTGTCAGCAAAGTGAATAAAAGTGGGCAGAGCACCCAGGCCAAAGAGGCACTGAGACTCAGCAAGGTTGGTGCTGGAGATGTTGCTGCCCAAGCACACTGTCTTTGGTCTGGAAGTCCAGGATCCATATGCAACCAACCCAGCAACCTCAACTTCTATGACACCTTCTGGGGAACAAACTGCTTTTTTATGTTGCATTCCTTCCTGTTCAGGTGGGACAGGTCCAGCTATAGACCCGAGAATATGGCACTCACAGTGGAGAAGCTGGGATGATAAATGAGCTGAAGAGGAACAGGGAGTGCGAGCTCTTCTTCTGCTCAACCCACTTCTTCAGAATGTCTGATCTGCTGGCCAGTCCTGTGGTTCCGGCAAACTACACTCCAGGATCCCCACAGATGGTCTTTCTCATTTGGTCTGCAGGCTCCACATCAGTTCCACCTCTTCCGCTCCCGCTTGTCCCACAGCACCTCTCAGACACTAGCTGTGTTCACAGGGTTTTGGCTTCTTCACAAGAGCTCATACTGTTTTTTTGAGCTGCAGAAGAGCTCAGAGGTACCTGGCTCTGATATGATTATATGATTATAATGTTTCTTATTATCATATCATATTTGTTATTAATGTATATTTAAGCTGTTCAGGTATGTTAGGATGTTAAAGTATACTTGCATGATGATTATGAATGTTCTATGAATGCATTATGAATACATTATGAAGGTGCAATGTGAAGCATTACCCAATATTATTGTATGATGATTTGGATTGGAATATGGATTTTGTAATATTTATGAATTCAATACAATGTATGTGTGTGTATATATACACACACATTAATATGCTACTTAATTTGTTTAGCATAAGTTCATGTGGCCTGTATCATAAAATTGGATTTCTTGCTTAGACGGGTGACATATTGGATTTGAGGTACCCCAGTTTAAATGGACTTTATCTTTGTTCACTTACATTTAAAGCAGGCTACTTGAAATCTGACAAATTATCTGGCTAAGCAAGAAATCCTGCTTAGTAATACAGGTCCCTGTTCTATTATTATATGTCACTGGCTGATTTAGGTATGGGTGACGTGGGCAGCTACCCAGGGTGGCTTCCGTCCAGGAACGGCCAGGGCACCTGCACAAAAAAAAGTTGGAATGGTGACATTTGTGTGATCGGTTTTCTATTGGTCATTTGAACGTCACGTCAATGATATCATAACACTATGTGGGTCAGTTAACCTTGTTGGATTTGGCGTCCTGATTCTAGTTTGTGAGCTAGGCAGGCTACCACTCAGAAGTATGAGATGGGGAGGGGGGCAGAGCTAGGTTGACCTCAGATCACCACACTGGAAGACCGAGGTAGGGGGGACAGGGGAATCCATCAATTAGCGCACCTCTAACTATGTACACTACTAATGTAATTAATAAAATCAGTCAGACTATGAAGTGCTACTAAATGAACCACTATTCATTCACAATACTGTAAATATTTAGTTTTATGCACATACTGTTGTATCTTTTTAGGATTTTGCAAAATCTTTAACAATAATATAAAGCCTGTATGTACACCACCAAGGTGAATTGGTTTAGTCTTCACTCTTGGTTGCCAGTGTTGGGGGGATAGGTGATGCATTGATGCTCGAGTGCCAAATTAACACAAAAGGTTATGAAAAGGTCTAAGCCATCAGATGCCCCATTTAGGAAAAAAGAGTAAAGAATAAGAGATGCAGGCATTTCATCTGTTTATGAGCATATTGTGCAATGAAATTAAATAAGCTAGTATAATACCTATATCTTTGTTAGCCAATAGGATATTTTTAAAAAATCATTTATTTTTCATTTTTAAAAATTTATATACAACAGTTACTTTACATTTGCCTTTGCTACTTCTTTTTGATATTTATAAATCTTTTATATAGGTTTTTATATTTATTTACAGTCATTTTAAATGTTATCATTATTTATTTGTATCATTCCAAATGTCTTAATAAAATGGCTCTGAAGGGGGGGGGGGGTCACCCAGGGTGTCTTACAATATAGATCTGCCACTGTTGTGTGTTATTGTGCATCTGGGTATATGAATGTGAAAACAGTATTTACATCACTCTGAGGAGAAGGATTTTGTGTATTAGAAGAAAGAAATTTTGGTCGGGTAAAGATGTGGGAAAACCACTACATATATTCCTTAAGAATTTTTGATTCACATGCCTCAGGGACTTTATTTTAAAGTATGTTTTGTGAATCCGTTTTGTTTGTGCTATTAAAGAAATTATGAGTTATAGGCTACTGGATGTGCGTTAAAAACCCTACACCACTGATTTACCTGGCCACAGCATTTACAATGGGGGAATGGGGGTACAGATTAAGCTGCTCGAGGCTGTGGTGAGGTTACATTTAACATTTAATGGCATCAACCTGGAGAAAATATTGTTCATATCACTTTATATTCATTCCATTAATATCGGACCAAAAAATGAAACTACTCTTTCTTACAGCTTTGCAACTTTAACCACAGTGCCTTAAGTGGTGGCCTGAGGCTTATGGGAGGGTGATGGGTTAGGGACATTCAGTTAGGGAACATCAAATTACATTTCCTCAATTTCCATGGTGTGCTTTTATAAGGGCGGTGAAGGTCAGCAGCTTCTCCCCAAGTAGTTCACTTCCTCATAATCTGGATGCATGTGGTAAGGAAATAGTGACCGCAAGGTGCTGTTTGGAGTTAGTGGGACCTGACTGGTGAAGATGAGAGCAGACAGAAATGTGCCTCAGCAGCAAAGTAAGAATATGACAGGTTATAAAAAAACAAAAAACACTGCCGTCAGTGAAGATGCTCTGAAACATTTTTTTCTAACTTGCTATCTGTCAAACTGACCGGAGTAAGCTGCACACCTGCCCTTCCTAATGCCCCAGCAGCTAATCAGCAAAGCAGTGTACATCAGCCACTGGAATGTTATGAACAATTGTATTAGTTTCTGTAACATACCCCTTAATTTCCTCTTCTCTAGAAAAAAAGACCCTTAACATTAATATTTTTGGTGATATAAGGGGATACTTTTGGCTTTGTAAAGGCAGTTTAATAATACTTTAGTTAAATAAAATCACGACTAAGTAACATTTAGACTTATCTCATTATAAAATTACTTTCAAATTACATGAAAATTTATTTGGTACCAACCAAATGGCAGACCATTAGAGAAGGGGGTGTGAAGATTCCACCGGATTTAGGTTTATAGAATGCCTCAAACTTTGCCTCTGAACAACTGGCTTTCAACCAGAGAGGTCTTTCAGGAATGCACATCTAAACAGGGCAGGGGAAACGTACAGTCTGTTTTCCTGTCTAACACAAGGACAGAAAACAGGAGAAACGTCCGGAAGTTTGTATGACGCGTTCAACATGCGCCGCAGCATACCGAGGCTTTGAAGGACACCAAGACGATATTGTATCCGCTGATCCAGAAACAGTATGTCTTTACTTCATAATGGGCAGTAATATTTGGAGGTACGTAAACTATTCTGATCCGACACATACAGACACGCGGTATTTGTAATAACAGTAAGAATTTTAGTCAGAACTCGAACGTCAGATTTGCGCAGCAAATGCACCGGCCCATTGTCTGTTTTCAATCTCGCGTGGATAGGCGTATTCCACGTTTTGTACCCCACCCTGACGTATCTACAGCATAGAGATCGGCGGGACTGCCCAGTTGTCTCACAGTTGTGACGCTGCACCTTTGCCCGCCCCACGTGCTGTCATGAACTCTGTGTGAGGAAATAACGGCCATGCAGTCACCTTTTTCGGGATTGGAGTGTCTCCTCACGCTGAAGTGACCGTGCTTTGGGATCTCTTTGACAGCTGTGGGTGTACATATGACCTGCGTTTTTACAACATGTCGCGTTGCACGATAGGGTACTGACAGATGACCTTCCGCTTCTATTTAGCTAGTTACACCACGTACTAATACTCGATCTCTAATAATCTCGTGTTTTAACAACTTAGAAAATCGTAAGTATTTTGATCCTTGTTGCGTTTGCAGGTCCACGACCATCCGACGCCTCATTGACGTTACAGATACAGAGTAGAAACGGACATTTAAGCAGAGGACTTGCGACAGCTGTGAAACGCGGAGGAAGCTGTAGCGACCGGGATGACAGGGACTGACCATACCTTTGACTGACCTCAGCCTGCCGTTGCCTGTTTTATTGTCCTGTTCTCATTTGCCGTAGTAATACTTTATTAATCAGCTTTTTACTTTAGATAGATGTGCATCTGGAATAGATTGCATATAGACTTTTTCATGTTTTTGTGGCTCCCTAATGCTTTCATTAGTATTTTCTATGGTACGAATTCTGTGTGCACTTCGGGCTTCGGTCCTTCTTTAAACGCAACGTGATTGTGTTTCGCTGTGTTCAGATTTGCGGGAGGTATGGAAATGTCTGGATTCTAATTGGACAGCATGGTCACGGAGGCGGTTCCTGCGGCTGGCCCAGCGCCTATAGCCAATACCGGCCAGAGAGACTATTACTGGATTCGTTCGTTCTTAGCCGGAGGTAAGGTGGTCATTATGCCAAAGGGTTTAACCAATAACGTAGCGGAGAGTAATAATAATAATTATATTAATTATAGAGTAATTTAAATGCATAGGTCTGTTTATTGGGGGGGTAAATGAAGCCAAATGAAATTTTGTGGGGTACACACCCCCATTCCCTTGGTTGCTGTACCCCTGGGTTTAGCAATTTTAGCAATAATCTGTTCTGAAACAAAAGGACTTGTGTGGCAAATGGCATTGAAACTGCATTTACATAAGACGAACAATGGAAAATTCAGAAGCATGGTATGTTTACAAAACCATTAGTAGCTTTTCTGGGCAGAATATTAGGACTGCGGTATAATGGCCTCTCTGTGAGACTGTTAGGCCTGCCTGTACAGACCTGTGAAGACCTGCCTGTTTCCATTGCCAGGTGTTGCTGGATGCTGTGCCAAATCCAGCATCGCACCCCTCGACAGGGTGAAGATCCTCCTTCAAGCTCAGAATCCCCACTATAAGCATCTGGGTGAGTGAGGCAGGGCCGCCATGATAACCACAGTGCGCCAAACCGCTCGTTGCAGCAGCCTTGCGCTGCAGGCCAGCTTGTGAGGCTGCTTTCTTTGCCACCCTCAGGAGTGATGGCCACACTGCGTGCCGTGCCCAAAGAAGAGGGCTTCCTGGGCTTATACAAAGGCAATGGGGCCATGATGGTTAGAATATTCCCATATGGAGCCATCCAGTTCATGGCTTTCGATAATTATAAGAAGGTAAGTCAACGTGGTGGAGCAGAGATGTTTTAGATTTGTTACTGTTGAAGTGGATGCCTGATGGGTGTTTTAATGTATATTTGAACTGAAACGGAGGTGATGATTTTGTGCATGTGTCATCCTTGTTTAGCTGCTGAGCAAACGGCTGGGCATATCAGGACACATCCACCGGCTCATGGCCGGATCTATGGCCGGTAAGATAAAAATCTTACTTGTCACCTGCAGTTCCTCGTTCGGCCTGTAGTCTGCACCCTAGTCTAATCTATACCTCCACACACTGCCCCTGCAGGAATGACAGCAGTGATCTGCACCTATCCCTTGGATGTGGTGCGGGCCCGTCTGGCCTTCCAGGTGAAAGGAGAGCACCAGTACACTGGCATTTTCAACACCTTCCAGACCATATACCGGAAAGTAAGTCCAGTGCTGAAGGTGTGGGTCTGGGAGACACCTGGTTCTCTAGGCCAGTGTTTCTCAACATGCTCCTCGGGGATCCACAGACAGTCCACACTTTTTGCTCCCTTTTTTTGTCCTTGATTGGCTGGAGCTGGGAGGGTGCAAAAATGTGGACTGTCTGGGGGGGGGGGTTCCCCAGGACTGGGTTGAGAAACACTGTACTAGGCCACTCACATGTCGCTTTTCTCTGGAAGGAAGGGGGTGTGTCTGGCTTCTACCGGGGGCTGACTCCCACAATCATCGGCATGGCGCCATACGCAGGTCAGAGGCTACACTTGCTACTGTAATCTTAACAGGCCTGTATATTCGTTGTGGCTGCGGCAGCGACTCCCTGGCTGATTCCCCCTGTGTTGCAGGTTTCTCCTTCTTTACCTTCGGCACACTGAAGAGCTTGGGCCTGACTCACGCCCCGGAGCTGCTGGGCAAGCCCTCGTCGGACAACCCGGACGTGTTGGTGCTGAAGACCCACGTCAGCCTGCTCTGCGGAGGCGTGGCTGGAGCCATCGCTCAGACCGTGTCGTGAGTGTGCTCCCCAAAGCTGCATAGGGTGACCCACATAATAAGCCACACCCACTCCATGGCCACACCCACTCCACGGCCACACCCACAGCAGCAGAAAGTGACCTACATAAGCCACACCAACCACATGGCCATGTGCATTGCAGCACAGTGAGTTACATACATATCAAGCCACACCCACCCATGCAGGCCAATACAGCATGACATGGTGATCTGTTTACACCTAGATACCCGCTGGATGTGGCCCGCCGGCGGATGCAGCTGGGTGTAGTCCTGCCTGATGCTCAGTACTGCCGGTAAGTCAGGTTCTGCACGTGCCCAGAGTACAGTCTAGTGTTGTATCAGCGATCCCTCCAATGACTGTCGCCATCTTTCTTCCCCTTTATACCAGCACACTGACTCAAACGCTGAGTTACGTGTACCGGCAGTACGGCGTGAAGAGAGGCCTGTATCGCGGCCTGTCCCTGAATTACATCCGCTGCGTGCCTTCCCAGGCTGTAGCCTTCACCACCTATGAGTTTATGAGGCAGATCTTGCACCTCAACTAGCCTCCATTAGGTGGCGCTGCACAGCCTCAGGACCGAGGAACCCTGAGGGCCCCGACATCTCAGCCCCATCCCGCGCCGCTCTGCATGTGCTGCCCTGGCTATGGACACCACGACACCCGCTGCCATGCAAAATCAAGCAGGGCTGGCAGATGGGCGTATAGAGCTACGCATTTACCCATAATGCCTGTGAAGAGCCATGTGAGAACGTGACGGATGTCGAGTGCTGAGCTGGTCGGTGGCTGTTGAGGGTTATGTAGGTTTTCTATGACCTGTCATATTTTACAAGAAGGATTCACTGTTATTTTTTTTTTTTACAAAGAGAAAAAGCCTTTTTCCACATGGAAACCAACTTTCCTTCCTCTCCCGAGTTTGTTTGTGGATATGCTGCCTTATTCTGTGTGCGTGTGGGTGGGACATGGCTGTAGTTACACAGACGGCCCTGAGTGACCATATAGGACCGAGCCGAGCTTGAATGTGGCTGATTCATTGATGCTGCTTGCGGTTAAGTTCCATCTTTCCATCTCCTTACAGTGATCAGTGACAGCAATTAGCTGTCAGTTAGTGATACGTATAAACACTCAGATTCTACATGCTTCTCTGCATCATTTTCAAAGACGCGGAGCAGGTTTGACTTCCCTTACATCAGCCCCACAACGGCAACACTGGGGACAGGAAGCACTTTTTCATACTGCTGGACACTTTGCTACTGCGTCTAAGAGCAAACAAGCTGTTAATAAAGGAAGCTGCCTTTTAATCTGGTCGTGCAAAAAAACATCACCAGAGCTGTACAGAATAACCCGGAGACCTTACTATCTGGGGAGCATTTGTGGGATTTTGGCTGCCAAAACGCTGGCAGTGTAGAGAGCTGGTCATTTCAAAACTGCTTTTTAATTAGTCAGTGACTCAGCTTGTCCTCCAATCCCACATGAATAGCAGAGCAGGTATAATTAACAGTGTTACTGTGTCTTTCGTGTGGTTAATATGTAACTGTTTACGGTTTTGCATATGTAACTTCATGTGGGAGCCGAAGTGACCTGACCCTGCTGCTGTCTCACATCTAAATGGTCTTCAGGTCTCTCTGTATATGAGTGTGAAATGATGTAGGCAGACTGTGCTGAACCATTTTAAATCCATGCATCCGTCTGTCCATCCATCCATCCATCCATCCACTTATTCCAGTCAGGTATACGGGAACCTTTGTAAATATTTTCATAAGTATCTCATGTTGTTCAGAGCTCACAATGTGTTTCAGGGTCTGACTGATAACACCTTTGTTCACAACACTCTTTCTCTATCTCACTATTGCTTTACTGCTCTGCTGAGTCACTGTACTAGAAGCTTCTTCTCACTAGAAGTATTCAGGCTGGTTCCTGTTTCCCGTGCTGATAAACCTCATTAACCACAGCTTATGTGCGTTATGAACGCGTCTGCTTCATTTCTAACACCTCACACTAAATTTAACTACTGAAAGCATCGGAGGAGCTTTGCAAACCCAGCAGCTGAAGGGAATGAGCTGGGTCAGCTGCAGACTGTGTGCAGTCAGTGCCCGGCAGCCGCTTACTGACTCTCCTGCTTTGCATACATCTTCCTGTAGCCATGCTGTCAAACACTGGTTAATACTGTCCCTCATTTGGCTGGGAAATTTGTTATAAATGTAATTTTTGTTTCTTTGGTCAGGTGAGCACAAAGCCACTGTGTTTGCAAGCTTCACCATCTTTTTTTTTTAAATCCTACTCTGTATTTACTGTCATATTCTGCACAGGGGGTTTCTAAAAGCTGCTGTCTTGGGAAAAGATGGCCCTTTCAGATGCACACATAGTGCTGGACTGGTGTGGTCCAATCGTGAATTTTGATGAGTGCGGGGAGGGATCTCCATGATAGATTTTTTTTCAACCGGGGTGGTGGTTCCCCACAATATATTCTGCTGGCAGGTTTGCCAGTCTGGCTTTACACATGCTAGTCACGCACATGTAAGACGCACACGTGTGAGTGTGAGGCATTCGTGAACTCTTGTGTCATTCAGCATTTCGCCATTATGTAAGTGCATATCAAAAGAAATAGATACCTTTACTGGTTTTGCATCATTTTATCATGCGGGCAGGTGGAATGAATATCTTTGGTTGTTTGTGATATGATTTATAAAGATTTATAAAGAAGCGCACTTGTAAAAGTTCAGTCATGACGTTTTCTCTGTGATTCATAATATGTCTTTGATGTTACATTTAAATAATGTTTTAGTCAAATATCTCTAGAGTAACATTAAAAAAGTCAGTGGAGTGACCTTTGACCTCTTCTGTCATATTGTGTGTGTGTGTGGGGCACATGAGCATATTGCTGATCCTATGAGTGATTATCTCCTTCCGCGAGACCACTTTGTTTACTCATTTGCTTAGTGTAGTCAGCGCGCAGAAAAAGAGAGTGATGTAAAAAGAGGAAGAGCCGCTCTTTCAAGAGAGGCTGCAGCCTTGAAGCAGAGAGTCTGAAGGAGCTCAGCTAAGGAGCAAGACACCCGCAGCGCCATGCCAAGCTACACCGTCACCGTGGCCACTGGGAGCCAGTGGTTTGCCGGGACTGACGACTATGTGTACATCACACTGGTGGGCACGGACAAAGAAAGCGAGAAGACCCTACTGGACAAACCACTGTATGATGACTTTGAACGAGGGGCGGTAAGCTTAAATTTCTTGGTAATAGTTGGAGACGGAAAAGCACCTACGACGTGCCATGCTTTGGGCCAGGAATGCATTTGTACTTCATCAATATATCTGACATTTTTATCCAAAACCACTAGCAAAAGTGTGCTTTGGGGATTTGAACTCTAATCTTTGCATTGGTAACACAGCACTTGTTGAGCTACCTCTGTGTTGCTTGCATCATATTTTACTGGCTTCTGATGGACCAGTTCAGGAATTAGACATGCTGCTCTCTCTACCTCCCTTCACCTACGTGTAAGAATATTAATATTCTCTTTTTTGAATCAATCAGTATCAGGAGAAAACTACATTTCATTTGAAGAGAACTTACCTTATTCACTATTTGTGCTATACTATTATACTGACCTTGTATGGTAAGAGTCTAACAGCAGAATCACCCCTTCTGCATGTCATAGAACTTCCCTTCATGCTGCAATATCCTTCCTGGAGTGAAATTAGCAACTTCACTCCAGGGTACTGGCATAATATCACTCAGAATATATACAAGCACAAATTCCCCACGGACTCTATGGCCTAACCTGATCCTAAGAATAAAACATTTCAAATATCATCCATCTGTCGAACCATCTAAGTCAGATCTGGGCATTTTTTTTTACTTGTGGTCATTAAAATAATAATAGAAAAAGTTTTGAAAAGTATTCAGTTCTAAGAATAATCACAAATGCAACTGGCACATCTGTACCAGCACACAAAAATGAGCCTCTCCAAGAAAACTAAAAGTCTTCTATTACGGCTTTCATGGGACATGAAAGTAATTGATAAAAATGCCCCCCGCTGTGTTGTGAATCTTGGATTAGGCCCTCTGCATGCATGCTCTAACTGCTAATCCAGCTCTTGGTCACAGGGTTTAAATATGTTACTTAAAATGGTCTCTCCACTTGCTGTTCTCTCCCCGTCTGCTGATTCAGCTGTTTGTCGAGTATTTTTTTCTCTAACAATGGTGTAATTCAGCTACATGAATGTCATTTAAATCTGAAAGAACTGGATGCATGAGGGTGTAAATGGTCCTCATCACAGTGTGCTAACGTGTCAGTGCTTCTCTCCGTAATGAGTGCAGGAAGAGAGTGTTCACACTCTGTGGTACACTGTTCACAAGTGGCCATTTTGTGAGAAGAGTATGCTTCACTTGACGACTTGAATATTAAAGGTTACAGTGGAGTGAAATCGACCCAACAGAGTGGGGTAAATGTAGGGGAAAAGCAACCCAACGAAATGGGGTAATTGTAGGGGTAAGTGATCCAGCAAAGTGGGGTAATTGTAGGGGTAAGCGACCCAACAAAGTGGGGTAATTGTAGGGGAAAGCGACCCAACAAAGTGGGGTAATTGTAGGGGAAAGCGACCAAACAAAGTGGGGTAATTGTAGGGGAAAGCGACCCAACAAAGTGGGATAATTGTAGGGGAAAGCGACCCAACAAAGTGGGGAATTGTAGTGGAAAGCGACCCAACAAAGTGGGGAATTGTAGGGGAAAGCGACCCAACAAAGTGGTGTAATTGTTGGGGTAAGTGGCCCAACAAAGTGGTATAATTATAGGGGGAATGCAACGCATGAATTGCTGCAGTTTATGGGCATGTGGCCTCAAAGCTCAGAGCCTGGAGCTCCCAGGGAGCGTATGTGCTCAGCAGTTGTGCCCTTGGCAGGACATTCCTGTCTGGAAGGGAGAAAGGGAAGGAAAAGAAGGGAAATTATGTGACTTCCTCAGCTGGTCTTGATTTGCTAAAGTCACAGCATGCAGCAGGAAGCTGGCTGAAATTGCACTCTGCATTTACACGATTCATATCTGGAAAGTGTGTCACGATGCAAAAAGTGGGTTGTGGGATCATTTTGAGTTGTGGCAAATCATTGCAAAAATATTTTGCAGTGTGGAATGCTCTCCCAGGTCATCAATTTTATCTCCAGCGCCCGCCTGCTCCCCCCAGCCCATTTTATGCATATTTGGATAATACATACAGTGCTGTGCAGTCAAAGAAAATTATGTTTACATGATCTTCATGTTGGTGTAAAACTATAGTATTTTCTCTGTCAAAGTTAAGCCATTTAGCCATTTCAAAACCTCTCCTAATCTCCTAAAGTCACCCCAGCATTTACTGCAATTGTCTAATGTATTTTATTTGACCACTACTTCACCTTATTTGGCTAATCAAAACCTCATTAAATCAATCAATCAATCAATCAATCAATCAATCAATCAATCAACCAAGAGAGCTAATGGTGAAACTTAAGAAACACATGGCATGGCTAAGGTGCCCCTGAGGAGAGGTTTGGGACTGAAGTGGTGTTCATGTAGCCATCCAGCAAGATATCAGTAACTTTTTGGAGAACAGAAGAAATTCTTGCTTATTTTTGATCTTTTTCCTGTTATTTTTCTTGTGTGTTTTTCCATGTGAATGTATACTTTCTACCCAGATAAATTGCTTGAAACATTTTCTTTGACTGCCAAAGACACAGTACCATATATGGTTGAAAACTGAAAAATGTGGGTCCTGAGGCTAAATCAGCTGAGAACCACTGCATTAGAGGCACCTCCCTTTGAGTGGTTACTGACTAACTGCTGCAGTGTTTCAGTAGTAAAGGCAATATTATAATGATTGTCATTGACTGCAGCATTACGGAGTGTTACTCTGTATTATCACTAACAGATAGCTGTACATGTACATGAAAAAATGGCTCAAAAATAAACCTGTACTGCAGCTATACTGAACTACAGTATTATTACTGAGCTTCATTACTGCATGGGCAGAATTTTAGGCCTGTGCTACAGCATTACTGAACCGCAGTATTATTACTGAGCGTCACTACTGTGAGGGCAGCATTACAGAGGTGCATTATAGAGATACTGCACTACGGTATTATTACTGAGTTTCGCTATTAAGAGAATAGTATTACAGATCTGTATTGCAAAGCAAATGTTCTGTCTCAAACCCCCATAGAGAACAAATTCTGACCTCAGCTCATTGCTGTTGTTATCTAAGGTGGACTCGTACGAAGTGAACGTGAGCGAGAACCTTGGGGATATTGAGCTGGTGAAGATTGAGAAGCGGAAATACTGGATGCAGGATGACTGGTACTGCAGGTACATCACAGTGAAGACCCCTGAGGGCAACTATGTGGAGTTCCCCTGCTACCGATGGGTGACGGATGAAAAAGAGATCATTCTGCGTGACGGCCGTGGTAAGTTTCATAGAACAAACTAGCCATGTGGCCCTCATGCTCCTGCACGGGTTACCCACCCTGACCAATCCCCCTTTTTGTCCTACCAGCCCACCTGCCTCAGGAAGACAAGACCCGATTGGCCAAGCAGCACCGACGCAAAGAACTGGAATTCCGGCAGAAGGTGTACAGGTGGGTCATGACCAGGTGTGGCGTGAGAGAATCGTGTCATATAAGCATAGCTAAGACATTCCTTTCTGGTGTGTGCCTAGATGGAAGGAATGGCATCCTGGATTCCCAATGAGCATCGACGCCAACACACACAAGGAGCTGCCGCGCGACATACAGTTTGACAGCGAGAAGGGAGTGGACTTCATCCTGAACTACAGCAAGGCGTAAGCAAGGGGAGGAGGCAGCATGACGTAGATAGTCAGCACACACAGTGTTGGGGAAGTTGCTCGCAAAAGTAACCCATTAAAGACAGAAGTGGAAAGTTCAGATCCAGAAAGTACAAATCCAGACCAAGGTTTTGTTTCAACCAACCAGTTCAGTATAAAGTGTCACAGTCACAGAGTACTCAACTGGTTGGTTGAAACAAAACCTTGGTCTGGATTTGTACATTTTGGACCTGAACTTTCCACCTCTGTCTTTAATGGATTACCTTCATAAATACCTTCCCCAACACTGATCACACATACCATCTTCACCATCCACACTCACTGTCACTGTCTAGGAGTGACACGACCCCATGGCAGACACATGGTGACACAGGACTGCCAGACAGGTGGACAGAAAGCAGTAGTGAAAAGAGGATGAGAGGATGCTGGGGAGGGTGGTAACCCGCAGAGCCATTTGGGCCTGTCCTGCCTGCCTGTCCCACACGGATTTGCTTGTATGTCACAGGATCGAGAATCTCTACGTCAATCGCTTCATGCACATGTTCCAGTCGTCGTGGAATGACTTCGCAGACTTTGAGCGCATCTTCGTGAGAATCAGCAACACCATTTCAGGTTGGCTGTTTGTCAGTAGTGTTCAGTATAAGGGTGGATGTGCATGCTCCTGAGTATGGGGCCGGGGGGGGCAGTGGTCCTGGTGCTTCAGATTCACCATGGCTGCCCTGGAACTACAGTCCCGCTGCAGCAGCCAGGTAGACGTGCATAGTGGTGCCAAAATAAGCAGGGACACAACCCATCCTAAGTATTACCTGTCACCAGGCTGAGGTCCGGAAAGTGTTTCTGCTGTCTCTCACTGAGATTACTAAATACTTAATTGATATCTACAATTTAACATTTGCTCTTCATTTAAGCACCTTGCATTTTATTTGATCTGCGTTGCACATCTCTGGTCTTTCAATATCTATGACATTATTTTGTTCACAGTTGACCACCATGCATTTCACAACAGGTTATAGTCTGACCTTCCTGCATTCCTTGAATGTAGAAATAACTCAGACCAGCAGTTGCCTCGGAATGTGTGTAAAGATCACCCC